CTTATTATGATTTTGAAAATCGCTTGGCTTTTATTAATAAAGCAATAAGTTTCTATGAGAGTGTAACTTATTTAGAAAAAAATAACCATGAAATTTACAGGAAATATTTGTTGCATCTTGGAGATGTCATATTTATCAATGTTAGCAAAGAAAACAAGAATTATACAAATATTCAAGCAATTTTCAGTTACGAATATAATGATGAACATGTTTATGCCTTTATTGTGATTGATTGATTTGAAAAAACCAAACAAACAAATGAAATGCTAGAATGTTCAATTTACAAGATTCAATTTGCAAGAAATAAAAGTTGGCAATGAACTTATCTGTTAATGATAGTTAACCAAGTGAATAAGATTAATTTTGTTCACAATTGCATATTTAGAAAGTACATTAATGGTTATGATTTATCAAATATGTATTATTTAAAAAACGATTATTTTTTTTTTTTTTTTTTTTTAATTGTAAAAGGGCATCAGATGCAAAACTTTATTGATATATAAGATTATACTTGAGTTACATCAAACATCTTTACATATAGTATTACATAAATTAATGTTAACCTATCTACGATGCTAACTATCACTATTCTTGACACACTTAATGTACTTTAGATTAGTTTTAGTGCTGAGTGGTTAATACCCTTCCAGAGTTGATACAAGTGCTTACGTTTTGAGTGGATTGCTGCTTGGGTCTGTTTGAGGATTCATTGTTTTTATAATTAATTCTATCAAAGACGACTTCTCCAATAGGTTCTGTTGTGTGGTGGTTCTGTTATTGCATGTTGTTATGTGAGGATGGCTGTTCCATTTAGTTCCTGAAGCTATCAAGGTGTTGGCTGTTGCCGATCCTGATATTCAGATCAATATATAAAGTAGTACTAGAACTTTGTTTGCAAATTTGGCTTGGCTTTTTGCTGATAGGTGGAGATCTATGAAGCAGTTTACCTTGTCCTTTTTGACAAGAAGTTTGTTTGCTTTTGTTAAAGTTTGGAGATTAGGTATTTTTATACTGGTGTTCTATCTTTTTTCAATTGAAGTGCTATTTATAATGTTGGTAAGTCTAAAAATATGCTGCACTTTTTGATCCACATTATGGAACTGTAATTTCACTTGTTTTTAATTCTTGGTCTGGTGGTATAGTCTGTTGACTCTAT